AAGCTGCTGTTTGTTCCCTTTCCATTTTGAAATCAAGGTTTCCCAGCCCTTGATTTTTAAATACATTCTTAACAAAGAGAAACAAAACTTGTGGTACCGTGAATTCAGGGAGAAAGTATAAGGTCACTGATAAGTACCTGTAAAGCGTGCCTGGTAGATTGTGAGTTTTGATGAACTTTTATGTCATTCATTCCTCTAATTTCTCATTGGACCTCTGTGTACTTTGGGTTTTCATAGCACTGGATGGGTAGCATTGCGTTCCACACTTATTTCTGCATTGCACAAAACAAGTACTTCTCCTCTCCCTTTAAAAGTGCTACCGGATAATTTTAGCGAATGTCTGCTTCCTTTTCTCTTTGGAGAAGTTGTAAACAAATAGTGCCTAGTTATCTTCTCCTCCCTGCTCACAATGGGTACGCTTTGCTCGTTTTGCCTCACTTTTCTCTTTTTTCCAAGCTGAGAGAGTACAATGCGCTTGCACAGAAGTGGTTTCGTGCCACTAATCATCCTTTATTATCATTCTCAGTAACTTTTCTAGCTCTGGTAAACCCTTTTGAGATGAGAGACCTACACGCATACAGAAGGTGGAAGCATTCCACAGGTTTTTACAGTATCACAATCCTGTTTTCTATTGCATTGCGATGCCTTTCCTAATAGCACCTAATACTCTTTTTGAACGCTGGTGAAGTCTGAGCTGATGCTGGCAGGGAACTGCAGATGCAGACCTTTCCCGAGCACGAACAGGAACCTGGGGCCCACTGATCCTGTGTCTGTGCCACCGATATCCCCCTCGCCCCTCAGACCGCTCGTTTGGTTTTACACCTGGCCACAGGGCTTTTAATCGGACATGGTATTGCCCTGTCATTCATTACAAAAAGGTTCTTCCCTCAGTCTCCAGTATCCATGTTTAGATTTACTCAGCGTAGTAGAAATTATGAATAACAAAGCTTTTCAGCTCCCTACTTACCCTTCAGGCCTTCTAAGCCGGGAGGAAAGTACTTCGTGAGAATCTACTGAGGAGCTGTAATTGTGAGTGCTTGCTGGTATTTTAAAGATGAGCTGGTCGTGCAAAAATATTCATAGCAAAATAATTTAGGCATGTGTAAACAATCCTATCCACAAACTTATGGAAAAGTATCTAATTTCTTTCAAATATTAAACATATATTAAAAGAGAGAATAGAGAAGGTGAACTCAGAAAGAAGGATGTGCCTTGTTGCAGTATCAGAACTGCCCAAGCCGTCCAGCACCAAAACTACAGAAAGCGTGTCTGCATCTTACTGCGAGCGCTGCAGAAAGGCATATTGGGTACCGCACAATGGGTGCGCAGGATACTTCTTTTTGTACTGCTGCTCCTAGCGTGGTAAGGTTCATGGGTTTATCCTGGCTTTGATCTGTCTTTCAGAGTTTCTTTAAGGGCTGTCTCACATTTAAAAGGACATTCTGCCACCTATGCAGCACTTAGGCGGACGGGAGGAGAAACGCCGATTCCCAGGCCAGCCTCGTTCTGTGCTTGTCACCCGCAGATGATGGGGATGTTGAGCCGCCTGCGGCGCTGGTTCTGCTCCTACCGCACGAAGGCTGTGAACGCAGATCCTTTTGGTCGCATAAAGCGGTAAGTGTAGTACAGTGCTCTTGGCCTGGGATCTGCGTACGCTAGCTTTCACAGGGCTTTCTTCTACAGAGGTGGTGAAAGGGAACCAAGAAAAGCAAAGTCAGAAGATCTGTACGGCAGTCTGTAACTGCAGTTCCTAAAGAGGTTTGCATTTTCACTGCGGAGGTTGTTAAGGCTCCACAAATTGTGGAGGAGCAAAAACTGCTTGTCCAACCTATTTTTCAGAGGCAAAGTGAAGATAAATTTTGCCTGGATGAAGGCACTCTTCAGGACTGCTACCTGTAGAGCAGTGTTGGTTCTCATACAGTGTCCCCTACTTCGTATTCAGATTCCTGGGTGTTTCCAACACGGTCGTATTCATTCTTTTTCATATTTATTTCTACAAATCTTTTGTTTTTCATGGGCTCCGTCACATAGTTGTTTTCAGTGTAGGAGATGGGTTCCTCATAATGACCCATACTTTCAGACCTTGAAGAAGCTGCTGCTCTCGAGTTATGGCTGAAATCAAAATACAGTATGAAAGAAGAGTTGCAACCAGAGGAGACAAAGCATCTCCCAACCATCCAGATCTTGAGCAAGACTGTGGTCTGATTCAAACCCTTGTAAACCCGGGCCATTGGATCATGACAGTATTCTGGAGGAGAGAATCTTGTCCTTCGCTTCCAGGTGGCAGGAGAACCTTGGACATTATAGCACCATTGCCTCCAAGCCAGGGAGAGCTTCAGAGGCAGCAAAAGGTGTGTAGGCAACACAAGGATTACCACCATTTCTTGGAATAGCACAACCAGACAACTGCTCTTTGCAAGATAAATATATATATATGTGTGTGTGTATACATATATATATATATTTTAAAAAGTGGTGGAGGAATGGTAAATGGTGAACTGAATGCAGCCCACATCCACCACGGGGCTTGTGATATCTAATATCTTTAAAATGAAGGTAAATCCTCTGAGGAGAAATGCCATCACACCATTTGTTCAGCTGCTCAGGGTTCAACTGTTACTTAAAAAGCTGCTTTATAAACTGCTTGGGAAGCACAGCACCCAGGCAAACACCAATGGTGTGTTCTACCATGGCACTCAAGTCATCAGCACTGTAATTTATACCTCGATAAGAGGTTCTCCTTGTATGTTTTGACTGGATTATTACGCTTTTCGGTATAGCTTCCGGAGGTTACGAGTAGATCAGGATGCTGAAACCCGAGTTGAGAAATAGCTATAATGTCCTGCCACGGCTACGATTAAGAGAGGCAGGTTCAGCCAAGGATATTTCAGGGATAAATCAGAGTCTAATCTGTGCATCAGGAGCCTTAGCTCTCTAGAAAGGGAATTCCTGTTCTTTGCATTTGAAAAAACACTGAGAATTTGTCCTGGGCAATGATCTTCAATAGGCCTCATTGGGCTGAGGAGTTAATAAACAGCTCTTGCTCATTTTAATGATACTAATATTGCAACGGAAAAGATCTTTCTTCCTACATTACGTGTTGATGTGGAAAGCCCACAGATCATCAGTACGATGTACTACTGAGCTAACTTTGAACCTCTTAATCCATATTGCTTAAAAGGCTTTTCATCCTGACAGCTAAGTAGCACCGTTTTTTTTTTTTTTTTTCCTGCTCTGATACAGTCCCCAAAGACTCACCAATATGTTAGCTAAAGGGTTATACTCACAATTTTACTTTGTAGACTTGAGCTGGAAAAGAATAATCAGAAATGTGTGTCAATAATTTGCATTTATAGTCTCAAAAAAGAATTTCTTCTATGTCTCTTCTTGATCTAAGAAAGCGATCTCTGAAGACAGAATAAAAATAGGAACCTTAGAGATCATGTTAGGTGGGTGATGACTCCTATTCCCAGGATTCAGTCCAAGAAAATGAAAACCACCCATATCCCAGCTGTAGCACAACTGGGTCAAAATAACTGGCCCAAGGTCAAAGGTAAAGTTGAGTTTAGAAACTAGAAGTTGCCAGTTCCCACAATTTTCCTATTCATTAGAAGTTCAATAAAGAACAATTTAGAAAGAGGTTATTCTGGATTAAAAAGAACAAAAAGTTGTCATGGTTTAACCCCAGTTGGCAACTAAGCACCACGCAGCTGCTCGCTCACTGCGCCCCAGCAGGATGGGGGAGAGAATCGGGGCGGGGGGGGGGGAAGGAAAACCCATGGGCCGGGAAAAAGACAGTTTAATAGAACAGGCGGGGAAAA